GGACGTATGCCTTTGGTTATGTAGCTTTCAAATTAGATTCAATTGTGCTATCTCTGCAGGTTTTGGTTGAAGTCTATGGAGGGGAAGGGTAAAAAGACTAAAATGTGAAGTAAGAGGGAGAAAAACTGTGATACTGATAATATTTCTCAAAATGCAATAGGTCTGTGTTAAGTACTTTACATGACTTATTTAATTTTCACAAGTGTGAATAATGTGAAAATGTGCTTGATATTATTATTATCCCCATTTTACAGATGAAGAAACTGAGGCTCAGAGTGGTTAAGTAACTTGCCCAAGGTCACACAGCCAGTAGGTGACAGCCACAGAGTTGAAACCTAGGCTACCTGACTTCAATGCTTATGTTCTAAATCACTACTTTATACCATGTAGAAAAGGACTGTAGAGATCTTGGTTCTTTCATTCCAGTTCTACCACTAAAGAGCAGTGGTAGGATGGAGTTGCCAGTAACTGAGATGAGAAGCCTGTGGATTAAACACGTGGTTATGTTGTCGGTGGTGGTGGTGTTGAGTGTGGATGAAGAGTTCAGTGTTGGACCTATCGAGGTCCAGATGTCCAGCAAACATTCAAACAGCGGTGTAGAAATCCAAGTAGACAGGTACCAGAGGCAGCTAGATACTCAAGTTTGGACTTCAGGGGTAGATCTAGGCTAGAGACATCAATCTGGGACCTGTCAGCAGATGGCTATATTTAACCCTTGGGACTGGGGGAGATCTCCAAGGAAGGAAGTGTAGTTAAAGACGAAGACATCCAAGAACTGAACGATGGGGACTCCGATGTTTAGAGGGTAAGACTCAGCACGAGAGATTAAGGAAGAGCAGCCAGGGAGGTGGGGAGCCTGCAAACCAAGTGAGGATGCTGCTTCAAGAAGGAAGGGATGGTGGGCTGTGTCAGATGTGACCCGCAAGTAGGGTAGGATAAGGATGGAGATGTACTCAGTTTGGCAGCTGAGGTGAGGGGTGCGGGGAGGTGTGACATCGTGGCAGCTTTGACAAGAGCAGGTTTTATGGAGGACAAAGCCTGAATGGCATGTGTTCAAGAGAGAAAAGAAGAGGAGGAAGCAAAACACTGAGTACTTCTCTAAAAATCAGTAGCCTGAATGAATTTCAGGATCAATGCACTTATCACAACCTCCCTTAAAAATGTGTGTCTCGGGACCTCCCTGGTGGCACAGTGGTTAAGAATCCGCTTGCCGATGCAGGGGACACGGGTTCGAGCCCTGGTCCGGGAAGATCCCACATGCCGCGGAGCAACTAAGCCCGTGCGCCACAACTACTGAGCCTGAGCACTAGAGCCCACGAGCCACAACTACTGGGCCCGAGAGCCACAACTACTGAAGCCCACGCGCCTAGAGCCCATGCTCCACAACAAGAGAAGCCACCACAATGAGAAGGCCGCGCACTGCAACGAAGAGTAGCCCCCGCTCGCTGCAACTAGAGAAGGCCCGCGCGCAGCAACTAAGACCCAACACAGCCCAAAATAAAATAAACAAATTAATTAATTAATTAAAAAAAAGAGTGAATTGAAAACAGACAAATACCATATGATTTTAAAAAAAATAGTGTGTCTCTTACTAGATCACATGATCTTTGAAGGTCTAGGACCATAATTTATCTTTTAAGTGCCTTGCACAAGGTTGGTGTTTAAATAACACAGAATTTAATTAAACTTTTAAAAGAAAAGGGATATTCTTGTTTAAATCTCCTGAATCTGTGCTTGGCAACACTTAAAGCACCCGTACCCCCAACATAAAGACACTTCTGGAATTAACCAGTGACAACAGAAATTTAGTGTTGCTTTTTTTTTTTTTACCCACTAAAGATCAAGTTTTCATGATGCGATCAATTTTGAGAGGGCTGAATCTGTTAAATGCGTATTTATAATTCTGGTTCAATTGTTGGGGTGAGAGAAAAATTACAAAAAACCCACCTCATCCCTGCCAACACATTGGTTTGTGTGAATCACAGCTCAGTGAAACCTTTCAGGCATATAATTTATCTTTTCTTTGGCCTATGTAGTAAATGCTTCATTTGTTCATGAATTCTGGCCTTGTTTTAATTATGCTATGCTCTGAATGTAGTTTTATAAGGCACAAAAATAAGATTGTCGTTCTGAAAACACAGAAGATTTGTGTGTTTCCCCCAGAATGAAATGGTGGCATCTTTCTCCCAATTCACGGCTCTGTGGGTTTGTGGTTGGAATTCCAATCCAGTAAGAGACACACAGTGAAACCGGGTGGTGGGGGGGGGAGGACTGAGTGGGTGGGAGAGGAGAGACAGCTGACACCGCTGAGCCGAAGGCATAATTTACCCTAAGAATTCTCAATCGATACATTGACGGCCACTTATGCATAATGTGCTACTCCCACCAAGAAAGCCATTGATTGAGAAGTTTTATTCCTGTTACTTTCTGAGGGCTGGACTCTTTCATTACACTTCCAGGACAATTGATTTTTCCCCAAAATACAGACTGTGCAGCCAGGGATCAGAACAGAAATCTTAACAATCAGAAGGCTGTTGTTGTTAAAAACCTTTACAGATATATGTATTTGAATATCCACAAGTTTACAGACTGGAGGAGAAATGAGTGGCTATTTCACAACTTTTCCATGTTTTATAAGCACGTAGGGCAGAGTGAGCACTCCATATTTCAAATTCCAATGATACAACCAACCAAAAATGGAAATTTGTAGTGGAACAAACACAGATGCAAATTTCATGGGTGAATCTAGGGAAACAAATTCACTTATTCCAAAAGGAAGATAAGTGACAATTTTTAGACTTTCTGAGCGGTTACTATAACTTCAAAATATCGCCCACAGGCCTGACTATATTAAATGCCTGCCATGTCCCCAACACAGACCCCATCTTCTGAACCTAATCTCATTCTGGAGCTCCTTCCACTCCAGTTGAGGTGCTGTCCCAGAGCATTCAATTAAAAAAAAAAACTGTGTTGGTAAAGCATAGTTCTAAAACTTTCTGCGCTCTTCTTAGGATAGGAATGGATTGATCACATTAAGTTTTTAAGGTTAAATACTTTCAAGGGTCAGTTATCAGAGGCTGAACGGGTTTACTTAATTAGGATGGGGATTTGGATGCATCACAGACACCTATCCCAAGACAGGTAAAGCTCAGTCCTTCATTCTCTTTCCATAAATAACTCAGTCTTTTCCTAACTCAAGCAATGGGCTGGCTTTGGATGCCCATGAAAATGAAACGTGACTATTCAAAAACTCAGAATGGCCTTAGTAGCCCATGACCAATAACAAGAAGGCAACAAGAGTTTCCCCACTCAAAGTAAAGTAGTAAATAGCTTCTCAAATATTCATGAATATTGATGACCAGTTTATAGCCCCAAGACAAGGATCTTTCGGGCTCCAGGTTTATACATTTGATGGAAGGTTCCCTGGGCCAGGTAGGCTAATTCTCCTTGTGTCCGGACATCCTCTCCAACACTTGGCCTTCCCCACCAGAGCGCTGGGCACCTTGCATTGTAACTGTGAGGTTTTTGTACCTCTTCTCTCTCTAGACCAAAAACTCCCTGAGCACCGGGACCCTGTCCTGTCCACCACTGTGGCCGTGCTTCACCTGTACCTGGCAGTGTCACCCTCAGTAAAGATTTGATGCCAGCATACATTTGAAGACTCACTTTGAATTAAACAGAAAGCTATTCAATTGGCTCCTGAACTGCTGCATTTGGGGAAGTGGGCATTTAAAGGGCAATTTTTCTAACTTTTGAAAGAAAATATAAGAATCAGTTCTTAGAGTAAAAATTTACAGAAATGACAAGAATGCTGATAGCATGAGCCTAAACATACGAGCCTTATCACCTGTTCCTCAATTCTAACAGTCCAGAATTTTCAGCTAGTGTCTAATATTTACAGTATAATTTTTGACACCGTCCTGGGTACATTAAAACCTCGGATTAATGTGATACTCACTTTCCTGAAGGAAAGTGATATCTGGACAGCGTTTAGAACAGAGCCTGGCACATTGTAAAGGCTAAATGACAGCCAGTGTTATCATTAGCAACCTGGCGGGGAAGCTGGTTGTCATTAAGACAAATATATTGACAGCCACGATACACGACCATGTAATAAAAAACAGCCCATTTAATTTTTTCCTGGGTCTAAGCTCAAGTAGAGGCACTATGCTCCCAAATTTTGAAAAAATACTGTTGTTTAAATCCATCCACTAAGCGAATAAGTGCCTTAAAATACAATGTATCTACTTTTATTTCCTTCTTCATTCAAGGAGTTCTTTTCTCGGTCCCCAGTACAAACAAACTCTCAAGGTTAAAATCAAACGCTCTTTTTAAGATCAAAAGGACTTGCCTTTCTTTGCCTAGGAAAGAAAGCAACCGGTTCAGATGCCTCCTTAAAAAAAAAAAAAAAAATCTCGTTTTTTACAAAGGTATTACTCTGGCGTGTTGAAAACTAATTTGTACATAAAAGAGTCTGCCCAGAGCTGTAAAAGCTCTTTCTTTAAACACACACTTTAGTGCAAAAGATAGTTAAAGATCAGTCCAAGCTATTAAACGTAAGAAGTGAAATGCATTCCAACAAAAGCCCATAAACATTCTGTATATGAAACCAGCTACTGAGACGGGCAGGTATTTAAGTCTTTTAGGAACCGTTTTTATTCTGCTAATGCTTTTCCCTCCAGACTCCATTTGATCATAAATGCAACCTGTCCACCTCTGCCTTTGATAAATGGAAGGACAGATTCATCTGTATGTGACTCACCTCCTCTTTTCTTTTACGTGAAACAGATGCCACAGCTGTTGTTGTTCTTCCAACAGATGTTTCTGCCCCGCAGAAACACTGGCGAGCACCGCGCTGCAATGTGCTGTTGGTTCTAGAGGGATCCACGGCTTGATACCTTGTCAGGACCCCTCCGTGATGGCACAGCAACACACGTGCAATCGTCTTGCCCCACAAGTGCCCCCCGAGCCTGCATTAAGAACAAAACGGATTGTCTTACCCTCTCTGCAGGGACATCGTCCGACTGCGTGGAGAATCCAGGAGTTTCGGCGGTGGGGTGGTGATGCTCTGCACGCTTGGCCTCCTGTTGGCGGTCCACGAGGGCCTTGTCCCGTCCCTTGTCCAGTTTGAAGAGCCTGTCAAAGAAGCTGGAGTCCTTGGGCTTGGAGGGGGCTGCCCCTCCGGACTCAGATAGACGAGACTCTGGTCCCCAAGTGGCAGAGGGACCCTCGGCTTGGGCCGGGGTCTGCACGGGGGTTTTATCTGGGTCGCAACCCAGTGCAGCTGCCACCGGAAGTGCCATGGGCTCACTCGGGTCTTTGTTCCCTAAAGCTTTATCGGAGCTGACATCAAGCTTCACTGGTCCAGTGGATGAATCCGTAGCTTGGTCTCCGGTACGTCCTGGTACAGGCCGAGAGAGTGTCAAGAAAAAACGAGATTTAGCAGCTGGTGTCTGGGGTTTGGCCTCCTTCCCAAGATTCTTCCCGTTGGCCTCCGCAACAGCGCTTATCTCCATTGTCTTGGGGGAAGAAGTGGCCACATTATCCTCCTGGACACTTGTTTCCAAATCAACTGTAAACACAAACATAAACAGCGGTCATTCAGCCCAGCGAGGAAATTCAAGGATTGCTAATGGACTCCCAACGTCTCCTACACAGAGGCTGTGATGCAGTCTGGGACTCTGCCGTACCTGGGTCCCTCTGCGGAGCAGAAGTCAGCTATCGAGGTGTCTTCTGACCCTGCTTTTCTCTGGAGAGAGGAATGGAAGATTACGGAAGAGGAAAGCCAAGTTACTGGAAAGCACGCACCAGGTGCTGTGTTAGTCACACATTAATTATCTTCTTCATCTCCGCGGGAATCCTGTGAGAAGCTAATTATCATGATTTCACCTGGGAGGCAGGACAGCAGTTATGAGGTTAGGAGAACAAGTTTCCCAGCCTCGGGACTTATTGCCGTTTGGGGCTGTATCATTCTTTGTTCCAGGGTCCACCTTGTGCCTTGCAGGGTGTACGGCAGCATCCCTGGCCTCTACCCACCAGATGCCCATAGCACCCCCTAGTGGTGACAACCAGAAATGTCTCCGGAAGTTCCCAAATGTCCCCTGGGGGCAAAACTCACATTCGAGAACCACTGAGCCAGACTGTCAATTTGAATCTGAGTTACTTAACTTTTCTGTGCCTCAATTTTCTGGTAAAATGAGGCAAATAGTAGAAGCTACACCCATAATTTTGTCATGAAGATTCCATGAGTTAATATTTTTAAAGCACATCAAACAGTCCCTGGAATATAGTAAATGCTCAATAAATGTTATGAACGTTAGTTATTGTCATTATTCATGAGTGAGAAAATGGACAGCCACAGAGGCTGATCCACCTACCCACAGCTGGCCAACAAGCAGAATCTGGTTATGGGCAGAAATCTGACTCCAAAGTTCATGCTCTCTCTATCTTATATTCTAGAAAGTTTCCACTGTGAAGCCTGGAAGTTCAGATGTCTACACAGGAAAGTGGATTAGACCTTGGGCCGCATGGAGGCAGAGTGTAGCGTTACCTGTGTAAGACTGTGGGTCCAGGTTCTGCCCCCTCCAGGGAGGGGTGCTGTTTCCAGAATCCACCTGTTTCTGTTTTGAACTCTGCATCGACCTAACTGAACTGCATCCTTTTCGAGGGCACTTTCCTAAAGCAGTGCAATATTAAGGAAAAAAGATACACTACAAAGTTGGAAATCACAGCTAAAGATCAAGATTCTCTACCGATAAGCTGTGTGACCTTGGGCAAGTCACTAAAACTCTTTGAATTTTCTCATTTGTAAAATGGGAAAAATAGAAGCTCCCTTGCAGGGTTGTTCTGATGTTTAAAGGAGAAAACTCATGCAAAGGATCAAGAATCCTGCCTTTTCCGTAGTAGCTGCTTAGTAACTGACAGGTACTGTGAATGTGTAGTTTGTAGTCAACCACTTCTTAATATCTGTTTGCAGGATGATAGAAAGAGAAAGAAGAGAACCGAGGTTTATTTAGCTCATCTCATATTGCTCATAGGTAGTGAGAAATACACACATCCATTAGCAATTATTTTTGCCAAACTCTAGTATCTCACAGTGTCTAAAGTCAAGAACAAACAGTAAAGGAGAGAGAGAGGGAGGGAGAGATGGAGACAGGGCTCTGGATTCCTGGGCGGAGTGGTGGTCTCCTCTTTAAGCTTTGAGGAGCAGAGAAGAAATGGTACTGAAGACCAGTGACAAGCACTAGGGGCTCCTCATAAACTCAGACACTTTATGAACATTGGATATATCCTTTGGCTCTTCTTAACCATTTTTCTTGTGGTCCTGGAATTCGTAATTGTGGTAACTATTATACTCAGAAGGGAAGAGGGAGGGAGAGAGTGGGAATAAAGAAGTGATGGATGGATGTGTCAAGATGCCAAATAAGCAACTCAGGCAGTTGAACTGTCAGAGTGAATATAAACGAATTGTGGGGATGCTCCATGCCAGGAGAAGGGGAAGCAGTTGACAAAAAAGGAGGAGACGAAGATTCAAAACAAGGAAGGGCTTTTCAAAATGCCAAGAACATCAACTGATCTCCTCTAGTCTTCCCTACTCTCTGGCGGGAAAACAAGGAGCTAGTGGTAAGTAAGAGTGTTACAGTCAGAGAAAAAGTCTTTGAAAAAAGTCTTCCCATGGACAGACTTCCAAAAAAGTGCCAATATATTGCTTCAACAAAGGATCCATTCCTTACATCCAGGTATCTAAACTAGACTTCAGTGCATGAAGAGTTACAGCAGATACAAACCATAGCTCTTGATATCAGAGAATGGGTAAAGTATTTTTGATAACTTGTAAGAACTAGGACCTCTTAGATGGGGCAACCCATTTCCATGAAGCTCTGCCCCCCAAACTTGGGTGAGTGTATATCCAAGTCCATCATCTGGAGCTTCTATTTCCCTTGCTAAAATGCTCACCTCCTAGGTGGGCACATGACCTAAGCTACACTAACAAAAATCAGTCTTGCGACTTTTGCTGAACCTACTATAACAGAGTTACAAATCTTTGTGCTTGGGTTGGCAAACCAGTAGGAGGTACAACTGGAGCTGGTGGCCTTGGCTGTCACCTTTCAGAGTGCTTGCCTGAGAACTAACATAGATGAAAAGCAGAGCCAAGAGATCCATGGGAGCATTTGGACACCTGAATCCAGCTGTCCCTGAAGCTGGTTTACAATTACATAGCCATAGCCAGCAAGTTTTTTTTTTTTCACTTATGCCAGTTCAAATTAAGTACATACTCAGTGACTTGGAGAGAATTTCACCTGTTAATTAATAGCAATCAATCCTCTCCTTGAGAAGTGGTCTCCGGGCTCTTCAAATATGTCTAGGAGGCATTTAATATGGGATGGAGGAGGGGAAAGAAAATGAAATGGGAGAAAGTGAGCTCTAAGAAGCTGGATAGAAACAAAAAAATACCCGCCAACACTTTGTTTTCTCAGTAAAAGTGAAGGAAAAAAATCCACGTGGGCAAAGAGATTACAGTCATTTGAGACCTTAGATAAGCATTAAAAACAAATAAATTATGTTCTGAAACATTAACTTACACACACACACACACACACACACACACACACACAATCTGTGTGAATGAGTAGGAAGAAAACCCATTGGAGTTCCAGGTTTTATATTCTTGCAAAGATGGGGATAATTCACAAGCCTTCCTCACATTATTATGGAAAGAATAAAAAGTTCCTTCTAGATGACTGGAACTAAGCTTTCTGTTCCTATAAAAAAGCTTGGGAGAAGCCCATCTGGAATCTGGTTTCAATAAAAAGTTTTCTCATAAAGCAGACAAACAGATGACATACCAAAGAGATTTTACTTTCCATGAAAAAAATGTGTAAGAGTTTAAGGAAGATAAAAAGAAATCAAGTAAGAATGTAAATGGTAGCTCCCAAATATTTAGGAGAGTTGAAAATTTTGATCTCCTTAATGCAGAAAATATATTTTGTAGTGTGTGTGTGTGTGTGTGTGTGTGTGTTTTAAGAAAGTCTTTTTTTTAAAAATTATTTTTTGGCTGCGTTGGGGCTTCGTTGCTGCGCGTGGGCTTTCTCTAGCTGTGGTGAGCAGGGGCCACTCCTCTCTGCAGTGCACAGGCTTCTCACTGTGGTGGCCTCTCTCATTGCAGAGCACAGGCTCTAGGCATGTGGGCTTCAGTAGTTGAAGCATGTGGGCTCAGTAGTTGTGGCTCGTGGGCTCTAGAGTGCAGACTCAGTAGTTGCGGCACACGGGCTTAGTTGCTCCACGGCATGTGGGATCTTCCCGGACCAGGGCTCAAACCCACGTCCCCTGCACTGGCAGGCGGATTCCTAACCACTGCGCCACCAGGGAAGCCCTAAGAAAGCCATTTTATCTAGACATGTGATGGAGATGAATGGCATCTTAGCATAATTGTTAAGTACTTAGATTGTGGATCGGAGGGACCTGGGTTTAACCTCTAAAATATTAAATATGTGACCTGGACAAGTTACTTTATATCTCTATGCCTCAATTTTCTTATAAAATGGACAAGAAAATAAGGGTCTTCTTCAAAAAGTGAGGATTAAATGAAATACTTCCTACATGGTGCTTAACATAGGCGGGTACGTGGTGGATATCTAATAACTATTAGTTGTTTTGTTATATTTATATATTATTACTACAATTACTATTTAATTTTCTAAATAGAAGCATAAGGAAAGGAATTATTCCAATGGATTAACCTCTAAATTTGGGTGCCCTGGAAAGACTTTTAAAATAGTAATTATATGAATTAATTTATCTTCAGGAATCTACGAACCTGGGCCAGAGAAGTTTCAAGAATGCTTTTTCCAAGCACCAAGTATTCTTAGTTAAAACAAACTGCTTCATCAGATTTCTATCACATATTTAAGACACACACATACACGCACACACAAGGTTTGTGTTACACTATTCAGAACTTCTGAGTAAGGGCTATCTTTTGTTTTGTTTTTTTCATGTGCCAAAGCTACAATTTTCACTTGGTACAACTGTAAACACAATAGCTAATATTCATGGAATGTTTCCCAGGTGCCAGGCATTATAGTAAATGCTGTATGCAACAAGATAATTTTATTTATGTATTATAGCAAATCTATGCTAGATACCATCAGCACTCCCATTTTACAGGTGTGGAAACTGTGGCTCTGAGAATAAAGTCACTTTTCTAACACTATCCTGCTCACAAGTGGTGGAGTCAGGATTTAAATACATGTTTGCCTGATTTCAAAGCTCAAATTCCTAACAATGTATTGTAGTAGAAGCAAGAACAGAAGAGCAAAGGAGGAAAGATGAATGGAACAAAGTCTGGTTAACAGAATTAGTGGATTTTCAAGGAAAAAAAGAAACTCTGCACAAGGGAGAATAAAAGCCTGTGCTTTCTCATATCTGGGCAACATTGGTGTATGATTTTTGTTTATTTGTTTTAAATAAAAATCAGATCATATCATTAATCTGCATAAAACTATCCAAAGAGGGCCTCATCACATTAAAATCAAGTCCAAATACAACAGAGAAGAACAAGCCTGACTCCACATTGGATCTATCCCTTTAGCTCTAACCCTTGCGCTCTGTTGCCTGTGCTTAGTCATGCTGGCTCTGCAGGCTCTGCATCTTTGTATAAAAAAATGCTGCCTAGAAAAAAAAAAGTTGCCTAGAGCCTGAAATATACAGGAGAGCCCATCTTCAGATGGGTTCTGACCTTTAAAGGTATAACACTTTTCCATTCATATAGAGATAGAAAGTTGCAGAACAGAAAATAACATTTGTCTTGGTGGAGGCTTATAGGAATATTATAACCAGACCTACATGGACAGCTGCAAGAACAAAGGATTCTGTCACCAAGAAGTTTGCAGCAACCAGCCACACCCCCATTTAGTATAAAAGAAGCCTGAATTCTAACTCGGGGACGATGGTTCTTTGGGACACTAATCCACCATCTTCTTGGTCTACTGGCTTTCCGGATAAAGTCGCTATTCCTTG